GGGATGGAGTTTAAAAACAGGGAGGCTATGCTGCAGCTGTATCGGGTCCTGGTGAAGCCACACCTGGAGTACTGCGTGCAGTTTTGGTCTCCTTACTTGAGGAGATATATACTAGCACTGGAGGGGGTGCAGAGGAGATTCACTCGGTTGATTTCAGAGTTGAGAGGATTGGATTATGAGGAGAGACTGAGTAGACTGGGATTATACTCATTGGAATTCAGAAGAATGAGGGGAGATCTTATAGAAACATATAAGATTATGAAGGGAATAGATAAGGTGGAGGCAGGGAGGTTGTTTCCGCTAGCAGGTGAAACTAGGACTAGAGGGCATCACCTCAAAATAAAGGGAAGCAGATGTAGGACTGAGGTCAGGAGAAACTTCTTCACCCAAAGAGTTGTGAATCTGTGGAATTCCCTGCCCAGTGAAGCAGTTGAAGCTACCTCACTGAATATTTTTAAGGCAAGGCTAGATAAATTTTTGAACAGTAAAGGAATGAAGGGTTATGGTGAGTGGGTGGGTAAGTGGAGCTGAGTCTCAAAAAGATCAGCCATGATCTTATTAAATGGCGGGGCAAGCTCGAGGGGCCAGATGGTCTACTCCTGCGCCTAGTTCTTATGTTCTTATGTACTCTACCTTTTTTCTCAGTCTACCCGAGGGTAACTGAAATCACTAACAATCACAACACTAATTGTCCTGCAGGTTTCCATATTCTGCCTACAAATCCTGTTCCTTCCTTCCTGTTTCTAATCTTCAATCAAATAGATTCTAATTCAGGAACTGTATCTCACTTAAGGGTATTTGGCCAAGACTTCTACACCTCCTCCCCTTTAACCCACCCTGTTTCTACTAAACATATCTATTTCTCCACTGGCTTGAGGTGCGTTTCTGTCAATATTATTGTTTCATATCCCCCTGGAGCAATTTCTGCTTCTAGTTCCCCAGCTGTGTTCACTACACTCCGTGCATTTACATACTACAATTTAACCTGGACCTTGTATCTTTCTTGCTCATTGGAAGGCAATCATTTTTTTGTTCACTGTCAACATTGAAGCCTTTCCTCACTTCCTTTCCCCCTTCCCCATCTTTTCTCATTTGCCCTATCTGGTACTTCTAAAACTGAGCCCATTTGTCAACTCACCCTCTATGCTTTACAAGTTTAAATCTACCCCTGCTACACTATTTATTCTCGCAGCCAGGAAATTAGTTCCTTTTCTGCTTGGGTAAAGCCCATCTCCTGTGAGCATCCTCCTAATTTCCCAAAAATGATGCCAATCTCCCAAAAATCTAATCTTTTTACATTACCCCTTAAGCCACGTCTTTACCTCCCTATTGCTGCCTTTTCCTAAATGGCAGATCACTCCATCGTTATCCAGCTCCCCATCCAGCTGGCTTAGCAACAGATCCATATTGACTTGGAGACCCCGGCCCTATGCATAATCTTGTTTGATATCCCACCCTATATCACTCTTACGGTATCCCAAACTCTTCCTTCCACCAATGAAAGTCAATCTTCTAGTCATTCTGCTCTCCTCATGTCCTCTCAAACCCTTCTTTAAAATATCAGTCCTATTCTCTTTCTCCAGCATTAGAACCTCCTCAAACCTCACCACTAGTCTGTCTCTTTGACCTCCTCCTCCTCTTAACATTCCTTAGCTTCCTGCTCACTGTCCACATGTCTCTGTAATTTGTTGAGATGTTACCATCCTGGACCAGGGCTGTTAATTTGCAAATCATTTTTTAAACATAATAGCAGTGCAAGACAGACAGGCTTATCTCATGGATTGAATTCTTCACATTTTTCAGATTGTTTTTGGGTTTGCCTGAACGATGTTTGTGCTTTTAATATCCATGGAACAGATTTCACTGCATTGTAAATGAATCTACTGTGTCAACGATCACACCCCAGGACGTTTAATCTGCCAGTTTGATCGTCTCATGACAAAATAAACTAAATCTGTTCAGAAGTGTATGAATCTGTAAGTCTGAGACAAGGGAGGCTACACGTGACTTCTCATCACTGAATGGCATATCTTGCAATGCCGGCAGCTTGGTCTCCTAAGCTCAAATTCCAGCCTCACAGCCTGGGGGACAGAGTTCATTCAGATCTCCCTATTGTCCAAAGGTCAGTGCCCATAAAGCTGCTCAATTGTTGCTAAAACCCAACTGGATGCCCTGGAGACGTGAACCCCAACCTCAGTACCAGGCAATTCCAGTCCTGTTTAGGGTGTGAGGAGAAAGATAAAAAAAAACGACATTAGGGGAATTTTTTTTTTAGAAACAGAGAATGGTTCGTACGTGGATTGAACTTCCAGCGGAAGTGGTGGACGGAGAAACAGTCACAATGTTTAAAAGACATTTAAATAAGTACACGAATAAGAAATGTTTAAAGGGATATGGGCCAAGTGCAGGCAGGTGGGGCTAGTTTAGTTTGGGTTTACGCATGGACTGGTTGGACCAAAGGGTCTGTTTCCGTGCTGTGTGACTCTAAGATTTCCCACTCCTCCACCACCAACTGAGGCAATGCCTAATGACAGGAATCCTCCCACTGCTGGTGGCATTAACCCAGGTACAGAGGCTCACCACCACAAAGGGAGTTCAACAATCAAACCAGGGCTCCTGGGGCGGGAGAGCAGACACAGCATTGGGCAAGGGTGAGGGTGGGGGGTGGAGACCAGCTTTAGGAAAGAGAACTGAGTGTGAGCCCTCCCCAGAACCATCACCAGTGTCTGTATGCAGGGCCCCATGAGGATCGACTGCCAGTAGCAGACACCCACTTCCCTATGGCACTGAGAGGTAGAGAGGACTCTGATCTCCGATTCATGGTATGATCTCCATCCCCAAGGCCCTCAATGCCAAAGGAAAGCCCCACCATTGGCCTGTTGTTACCTGAGTGTGACTACATGGGACTCTCGCACAAGGCCATTCAGCCCCTGCTTCACATTAAGAAAGATCATGGCAGATCTCATTATTCCACAACCCCACCTATTCCCAATGACCTTTCAGCCCTTTGTTTGTCACAAATCTATCTATGTTAAAAGTGCTCAAAGCCTCTGCTTCCACCTCCTTTTCAGGAAGAGGTCCAAAGAATCTTGGCTGGCTCTCCAGCTCGTGGTGGAACTGCCATCACCTCCTTTAAATCCAGCCCCCACTCTGCTCTCCTGGCCAGCCTCCCACTCTTTGTAACTTGATACCATTCAAAATTCTGCTGTCCTCAAGTCCTATTCACTGCTTTATATCCTCCTCCAAATCAGACACCCCTCAGAAGTCTGTGTGTTGACCTAATTCCAGCCTCTTGTGGAACAGTGACTTAGAATGCTCTGCCTCCGAGGATTCTGAAGGGGCTTGACAGGGTAAATGCTGAGAGGATGTTTCCCCACATGGGAAAATCTAGGACCAGAGGGCACAGTCTCAATTTAAAGGGGCACCAATTTAAGACTAAGATGAGGAGGATTTTTTTTCTCAGAGGGCTGTGACTCTTTGGAACTCCTTGCTACAGAGAACTGTGGTGGCCAAGTCTTTGTGTATATTTAAAGCTGAAAGAGATAGATTCTTGATCAGTAGGGTTGGGGTAAAGGTGGAAAAGCAGATATTAGGAATGTCAGGTTAACCTCTGAATGTCAGAGCAGGCTCAATGGCCTACTCCTATTCCTATTTCTTATGATCTTGATTGGTCATGCCTTAGCTCTGCAATTCCCTCCCTGAGTCCCTCACTTCACACTCTTCTTAAAAATTTACCTCCTTTGGCCAAGCACACAGCCAGTTGTGCCTGTATCTCATCAACATGTAGACAGATTTACAGCTGGTAACTCTCCTTGGTACAGTCTGCTATATCATAGCTGCTATACAAGCACAAGTTATTGTTGCAACCTCCTACAACGATCATGGGGTTGGACTGCAGTACTGCGCATCATGATGCAGTGTTAGAACTTTACTGTACACAATATCAAAGATGGAACAAAGAAAATACAATCAAGAAAGAATTAAAGTTTTAATCTTCATTCTTATGACTGAAGACTGCAGTATTGGCTGTTAATGAATGCAGTGTATAAAGGAAGTATAGAGATTCAAATCTTTCAGCATGAAATATGCTGAGCATTTCATTCTGGTATGCAACATCACATCAACATCTGATTTTTATTTTAGTAGCATCTACACAGAAAAGCATTTGGTTCTAACACAAGGTTTAAAACAACCCTCTATTAAAAGGAGTACTTTCTGATGTCATTAAATAGTAAAGGATATCAAAATTTATCCTTACAAAGGAAGGGACCATTATATAAAATATTATATACATTTTTTAAGGCAGCACTGCCATAACAGACTGCTCACGCATTGGGGTGGTGAAGATAGAAGAGGTTAGGGAAATACTGTTGGCCCACGCCAGTGAAAGTGGAACTACAATAGGGCAAGGTGTCACTGGTTGTTGCAGTTGGCCACATGAGGCAGCTCAATATTCTGGAGATAGTAGGAACTGCAGATGCTGGAGAATCCGAGACAACAAGGTGCAGAACTGGATGAACACAGCAGGCCAAGCAGCATCAGAGGAGCAGGAAGGCTGACGTTTCGGGCCTAGACCCTTC